TTCCGCCTCAGCCCCACCTCCCCCCCCCAAAAAAACCCCCTTGCTTCTCTCCAAGGAGGGGGGAAGAGGAGACAGAGGAAAATTCAAAAAGGTGGAATCTGTCTCCATCTCATTTCAGATCTTGACTTTTATGAGCCTGCAAGTCATACGCAGACACACATACACAAAAAGAGGGGGGGGGGGAGGAAAGGAGAGAAAAATCTTGTGAAATGTGCGTGTGATTAATAATCTAGCTTTTAAAAGACCATCCTTCCCCAAGGCTGAGACAGAAGAGAAAAGAATTTGCCTTTCACAAGGTACAGTACATGTCTTTTAAATGATCTCTCTCTATTTAGCTCTGCTCCCATTGTTCCCCCCCCACCCCACCCCACTTTTGCCTCTTCTGGGCGCGTTTCTTTTCCAATTGACATAGTTTGGTACATCTTGACCCCCACCCCCCTTCAAAATAAAATCACTTTAAACAAAATGGTCAGGGAGGTCCGCTGGCCGGCTAGAAATCGAAGCGAGAAGAGAAAACGAAGGGACTAATGAAAACGATTCAGACTAAACAAAACACGCACAGAAGTATTGGCAGATAGTCGCGTGTGTGACAGAGACGAGGAGATAGGTCCTTCCATAAAGGGAAGGAAAAATCGGAGACGGATAAACTCCGCAAAACCCTAGCGGATTTAAACGCTGTCTTATTTTTTATGTTATATTTATTTTTCCCCTAACCCTTTTACGCCCAACTTTCCCGCCTGATCAGAGGCAGTGAAATTGACGAAAGAAACCGAGCGCGGGTCCGATCCTAGTCTCTGCATCTAAAAGCGAATTTGGTGGGCTATCTGGATTGCTATTTGCATGAACTGGGGATAAGCGAGGAATCATCCGCTCTCCCAGTGACTGCAGGATCCCTCGGTGCGTGGGGAGGGCGTGTGGTTTTATTTTAGATCTTGGCGACCGGCTGTGTTTGTAATTAGGGTTCTCTGGGGTTGATTAGGAATTAATCGCTTTTAAATTTGGTGGGGGACCGGGGGAGAATTTTTTTTTATTATTTTTTAGATCTGTTGCCAACCTGCGCGGTGTGTGCTTGGCTTCTGGCATTTTATTCAGCTGGGTTTGGAAGAGAAGCCACGGTCCAAATTGGCTGAGAGTTTATTGTGAAATACTTAACGCTTGGTAGCATTTTGATGGGTTTTTTTCCCTCTCTCCCCCCTTTTCTCCCTTTCTCTGTCTTCCCCCCGCCCCGTCCCAGATCCGTAAGGAATTGGAAGTCCCTTGGGAGTTTCTGCGTCCAGCAAAGTTTGGTTGGGGTTGTTTGAATGGGGTGGAGAAGACGAGAGCGATGGATTTTTGGTGTGGCTGAAATGACAATAAAACCCTCCAGGAATCTGGCTTCGTCATTTTAGCTCTTTTCTCCCCCCCCCTCCCCGCCCCTTTCTCTCTGATTATAATTCTGCTCTTTGCAAAGACCAAATCGACGTTGCAAATATTAATTATTTGTTATTATAGCTACACACCCAGCAGGGAGAGAGAATTTAATCTAAACAAAACCTTATTTCTCCCGCTCCCCCCACGCCAGGACAGAGAGGGTATTTTTAAAAAGGAGGTTGTTGTTTTTTCTCTCTCTCTCCTCTCAAATCCTCCTCTCAAATCGTGGAGAGTTTGGGAGCCACGAAGAAACGGACCGAATTCAATTTCGATCATAGACGAGAGACTTCAAAATACCTCTCCCGTTTTATTGATTCCTATCCTTGCTGGGTGGATTAACTTTCTCTCTCCTCCTCCATTGACCTATCTGCTCCCCCTTCCCTTCTTCCTGCCCTCGCCCCGATCCCGAGTCTTCTCTACCACTCCTTCCTTCCTCCTTCCGCCCATCCCGAGTCCTCTCCTCCACCACTCCTTCCCCCCATCCCGAGTCTTCTCCTCTACCACTCCTTCCTTCCTCCTTCCCCCCATCCCGAGTCTTTTCCTCCACCACTTCATCCTCCTTCCCCCCATCCCGAGTCCTCTCCTCCACCACTCCTTCCTCCCATCCCGAGTCTTCTCCTCTACCACTCCTTCCTCCTTCCCCCCATCCCGAGTCCTCTCCTCCACCACTCCTTCCTCCTTCCCCCCATTCCGAGTCCTCTCCTCTACCACTCCTTCCTTCCTCCTTCCTCCCATCCCGAGTCCTCTCCTCCCCCACTCCTTCCTCCTTCCTCCCATCCCGAGTCCTCTCCTCCACCACTCCTTCCTCCTTCCCCCCATTCCGAGTCCTCTCCTCTACCACTCCTTCCTTCCTCCT